ATGCATATCTTCGTTTTTACAGATAAGCACAAAAATGGTCCTTTTATACAGTGCAGTGATGGCGAACCTTTTGAGCTCGGCGTGTCAGCATTTTGAAAAACCCTAACTTAACTCTGGTGCCGTGTCACATATAGACATTTTTTGATATTTGCAACCATAGTAAAACAAAGACTTATATTTTTGATATTTATTTTATATATTTAAATGCCATTTAACAAAGAAAAATCAACCAAAAATAATGAGTTCGCGTGTCACCTCTGACACGTGTGTCATAGGTTCGCCATCACTGGTCTAGAGCATGACTGGCTATCTCTCATCCTTTCATGTCCCTCTTCGAAATAGCCTTCCCTCACCACACATGCTCCAGCAGTTTCCCTCCATCCAGCCCACATTATTCCCTTACAAAACACCTTGTTTATTATCCTTCATTGTATTTAATATATTTTTTAATGATTTGTTTGGTAGCATGCAACCCCCTCCCTGATGGCTAGTTTAGTGCCTGGTACACAAATGGCACTCACATGTTAGTTGAGTGAGTAAATAAATACTGAAATAGTTTCTATCCTTAGTAGGATACTATCAGTAATGCACAGGAGAATCTCCAAGTTGAAGCAAATACAGAATGAATTCTAAAATGACCTCAGCAACAGGGTAGCAGAACAAAATGAGTATAAAACAAAACAAAAAATATGAACTGGTCTACTCTCAGCAGAAATCTATTAGACTTCTCTCTCGGGAAGTCTATAAATGGCTTTCTCTGCTTCTTGCATCCCAATCTCTGGGTTGCCACTAAAGTGGCATCACCAAATGGTTCTTCAGCACATCTTATAAGATACTTGCTATTAAATATATTTTGCAACTTGTTTTTAAAAGAAAACTATATTAAGGTTTTAGTAACAAATAAACCATTAATGTAAATGATTATTCAGTGACTTTGGTGATCTTACCCTTTAAAGTTTAAAAAATTCTATATAAATAAATTTTATAAACAAATACAAAAATATTTCTTTGCTATACACTTACTTGCATCATTGAACCATTGTCAAGTAGAAACTAGATATTAATTTAACTCCATTAACATGTCTACTCACCCTTGGAGTAGTGGAGAGACTGTTTACCATGATTGATAAACTATTTTTGCACCATCCTCCTGAATTTAACAAAATAAAAAGAATAAACCCTAAGTGTTAAACTAAAATATTCATTTTGGTAAGTGCCTGTTTTTCAAGTTAAAAAAAATGCAGAGAGTAACAATTAGAAATAATCTCTAAAAGTACGTTTTAAATCTGGCTTCGAGTAAGCCCATAGCCTAGAACTATACTTCAAATCAGCTTACACCAGGCTATTACGCAACTATATAAAGCGTACCAAAACGCACCATCTTTAAGGCAGTCAGGCTGAACCCTGCTACTGTAAGCATGTCTAAATTCCTATGTGCTTCCGAGAGTTTGAGAGCACAGATAAACTATTCCAGCCAGCTCTGCCCTTCCCCCCTCAGATGTTTGCCTGGGCATACTCACCATGTGATAAGACTTATCTTTAGATTAAAGGTTGCAAGATTTCTCTGTCTCCTCTTCAAAAGTAATTCCCAGCTGCGACCAGAGAACCAAAAGCTAAACTTAAATGGTACAATAAATAGTTCAAAAGTATCTCTGAAACCTCAATGAACTCAAATCCGTAGGTTATTGAGAAGTTACCTCAAGCCAGGACCCAAAGCAGTCACTGAAGAATTCAGAATTTAGAATATTATATTAAATTAAGGACTGAAAACATTCTTAAAAACATCCAGCCAGTCACATTTTACAGATAGTCCAATTAAATCAAGGGAAGTCAGGTATCTTTCTGAATAAGCTGGTTAGTAGAACTTGAATGTCTTAACTCCCAACTGAGTAGGTAAATTTTTCTACATCATAGTTTAATTCTTTTGAATTCAGTACATTACGAGGTGAGCAAAAGTAGGTTTACAGTTGTTCTTATGAACAGTAACATAATAAATAATAAACTCTCGCAGGTACTCACAACTGTAAACCCACTTTTGCTCCACACTGTATATAACGACCATGTAGAAAACAGAATGCTAGCTAACTTCTAACTGTAAATATAAAAAACTGGATTTTTGGAGGGAGCACAAAATAAAATGCCAGGTCAAAGAAATGCCATAACTATTTTTCTCATTAGATAATGTACACTTAGAACACTATATGAAAGGCACTCAGAGAAGAGTGAACTGTGAACTGGTACAGTACTCAGAACTTTTTATTTTTTTAAATATATTTTATTGATTTTTTACAGAGAGGAAGGGAGCGGGTTAGAGAGTTAGAAACATCGATCAGCTGCCTCCTGCACACCCCCAAGTGGGGATGTGCCCGCAACCAAGGTACATGCCCTTGACTGGAATTGAACCGGGACCCTTTAGTCCACAGGCCGACGCTCTATCCACTGAGCCAAACCGGTTAGGGCAGTACTCAGAACTTTTAACACATGAAAAAAAAAATGGAGAAATCACACTTAGAAAAGAATGCTTCTGGGATTAGAATTCTATCCACAAGTTTGAAGGGAAGTGAATTTCTGGGTAATAAAGAAGCACATATTTTCTGATCAACAGGACTTTCCTGAAGTAGAATGAGCTGCCTTATAATGTGGTAAGCTCCCAGTCAAGGGAGAGATCAAAACTGAGTTTGGGAGACATCTCTTAAAACTATGATAGAGGTGAGGCATCACAGTCTGCTCTAATCACACACCGTATAATTCTCTTTTGTAATTAGAAACTCATTATTTTGAGTAATATCCTCAAGATGAGTTACAATATAGTATATAAGTAAATACATTAACCACAGTCATCTTTTCCCATCTGAAATTTCCATATATTAGTACTGGTGAGTTGGGTGTATTTCTGAAAGATTAACTAAATTTAATTTCTTAAAATGTCTAAGTACAAAAGATCAAGTTCAGATTTTAGTTCTGTCACTTAACTATATAACCTTGGATTGGTCATAATATCCCTAGATCTTAGAGGAGCTCAGATTTGGGGCAATATTCCCTACTTCTCCCAGCATTAAAAAAACAAAACCAAAAAAACATTATGGGGAGTCACAATGACTGGCTGGCACTGCAGCATTTAGTGGGCCAGGGATGCTGACTGTCCTGCAGCGCCCAGGATACACCCCTCCTCTTTTGAGAAATACTGATTAGAGGAATTATAAATTTCTCTTCAGGGCCAAATTTTGTGAGGCTTTTCTGTTAAAAATGTTTAGTTAGCAACAGTTCTTCTTACCTGAATCATAGTGAAACATCCCCCCCCCCCATCCTCCTGCATTGTAAGCAATTAATAATATAGCCCACAACCAAATACTGTACTGACAATAACTAGGAAAGATTATAAGAGGGTAAGGAAAACAAAAAACACAAAACACCCCTGTTTTTAATGCATGGATATTAAGAAATTTACTTTAATAAAATTCAAATGATTAGATGTTGACATTCTATCTACACAAGACTTCATTAATATAGTTAATTCCTGCAGCCTTTAGTGTTTTTCTTTTTCACACCTCTAACAGAACAGACTTAGGTATTTAACTGGCCATTAGGAGCACTTTCATCAAAAGTAAGATATTACTCATAATAACTATCAGAAATATTTGGTCTTGAAAAGAAAGGTTAATGAATGTCTAAACAGTTAAAAATTGTAATAAACCTCTATTTATGGAAAATATTTAACTTTGATACGATATGCTGTTTGGCTTTAGAACTTAAATTATATATAGACACATATTTACTTATACACATATATATTTACTATATATTCTTTTTCATTTCTTAATATTTTAGAAAATTCTCTCTCTCTCTCTCTCTCACACACACACACACACACACACACACACTCACACAGAACATATAAAGTTTTCTGAAATTGAAACAAAGGACCAAAATCAACATCTGGATTTTAATCACCTTTGACAGTTCCATGAACAGAATTTCTAGGCACAGAATTGTTATTAGGAATTAAAGGATATTTTGTTTTTGCCATACGAGATTGTTCATTACTTCCTTTAAAATGCAAAAGATATGCTTTTAGTCTAAACCAGCCGTGGGCAAACTACTGCCCGCGGGCTGGATCCAGCCCGTTTGAAATGAATAAAACTAAAAAAAAAAGAAAAAAAAAAGACCGTACCCTTTTATGTAATGATGTTTACTTTGAATTTATATTAGTTCACACAAACACTCCATCCATGCTTTTGTTCCGGCCCTCCGGTCCAGTTTAAGAACCCATTGTGGCCCTCGAGTCAAAAAGTTTGCCCACCCCTGGAAAACTCTGGTTCCAATATTTTATTTATACCAAAAATGTCTTTATCCCAGTGGTACTATCAGTATTTATTTCCAGAAACACAGATTGCTAACACTATTTAATGTCTTTCTATATAAACAATCGGAACAACAACATTACATTAAAGATCAGTTCATTGACTATCAGTGTTTTGGAGTAGATCTTTTATTCTGAAGAACAGAAATTCTAATATTTTTGTGTTTTCATTAGGGCTTTTACTGAAAAATATTCATATGACTGTATCATAAAAAACAGTGATTCTACAACATACAAGAAAATGTTTATATCTGAGACTCCATGTTTACAAGTATAAAATCTCTAGGAAAAGAGTGTTTATATGAAATAATGTAATGGCCTTCATAATGCTTAAGCATCAGTTCTCTTTAATACAAGTTTAAAAACATTCTTAATATAATTCCGTAAAAACAAGCAAACAAGAGCCCTCCTTTTTTTCACCCAAAGCCAGTATCAGTGAGTCCTTATTGCCACTTCATGACTTGTTACAAATTATTAATAAATTCTCTAAAATAATATAAATGTTAAAGATAATATTGGTTTTAAATGTTAAATAAGAAAATCAGATTAAAAAGAACCAATCCAGTCTCCTTTAAATAATCAGGGGTAGCATAGATACATAGCTAAGAAGAGATAGAGAATAAATCCAAATCTGGTTTACCAACTTCTAGTCCAATTCCTTTTCCACTTGATAGCCACTGTTCAGTTAAAGCTGCAGCAAAGGAGACTAATGGTGAGGAAAGGTGAGTTCCAAAATCAGAACCAGTCCTGGAAGACCCCACGGCTTCCCATATCAACCTTACTGATGTGCTCAAAATTCCTTCTACTTGGCTTCTCTTAAATTACCTTGCAGCTGAACGCCTTGGGTTTCTACCCATGCACAAGGCTTAGCCCTCCTGGCAAGATAATGCAGAGAATGATCACTCTAAATAAACAAATGGACCTTATTTGGGGAGATGTATTTCCTATTAAGTCACTGACTTCATATATTGCTTTTTTATAAAATTTTTGACTTGCTGAGAGTGAAATGAGAGCAAGGACAACTTCAATAGAGGGGTAAAGTTTACCTGTGATAAAGAAATTTCTCCCTGTTGTCTATTGGCTCTCCTATTGGTGTGACCCTCTCCTAGAGAATATCACTTTTCAAATTCTAATAAAATGTTAAACAAAAAAAATTAAAAATAAATAAAAAGAACCAATCCACAAGTTACTATTTAATTTCCTGAGATAGATGGATTATTAACTTTATGTGAAATATGAAGAACTGATCAACTGTTCCAACATAATCTAAAGCATCTGATAAAGAATAGAAATATACAAGAGACCAGTATTTGAAGGAGCTGAGTGATAAAGTTAAGCTTATATATACAGAGATGTATCATCCATTCTAAATAAAAGGTTAAAAGACACAGGTCAAATTAACTTAAGCTAAGAATTGGCAAATATTTTAATACAGATTTGGGGTATATAGGAAAGCAAACTCCAAAACCATAAAACAATATCATACCATTTGTTTGTGTCTGCAGGGCTCAGAAGGTCAGAAAGGGGATAGTTTATATTTTTTTGGCAGAGATAAAACACACTCCACTATAGAACCTCAGATTTCAAGGAAAACTCGTTCAAATTCAGCAGCTAACAGCTTGTCTCTATTCCCTGTCACTCTAGAGCAGAAAAACCCACACTTTTTTTCTTTCCTGCCCCCTTCCAGTTACACTTGAGCTCTCTGACTGAAAAGGTCTGGAACAGATTAAAAGTTGGACTACAAAATAAAAAGCTTTTGGCATGTTGTCAAGCCTGTCTGGAATACACATACACAGTGGGCCCAAAAAGGGAAACTAAAGGCACTAAGATAATTTTATGAAGCTCTTTTTGGCATATCTAACGGTATGATTGTGTGTATGTATGTGTTGGAGGTAGGGAGGAAGCATTTTTTTTATACTTTCTCAGATTAAAACAAAAGACCACGCTGTGTGTGTAATTAATGGATCTACTTTAAGCTCACAGCGAAGTTGTTTTATTTCACTGTTTAACTGAAAATACTTTAAAAAACAACAACTTTGTTCCAATTTCTGATTCTGTAGTTAGCTAAGAGTTAATCATCATCTTTCATAACCCTATGTTGGGGGTGGGGTGGAGGGTGAAAAAAAAACACCCCACAGTACCATTTTAAAAAGTTTCCAAAATGTGGACAAGTTGAATTCATTAAAGATGATTTAAGGAAACATGGCTGTTATTGTTCCAGTCCATACAAATGGCAACATTTATTAAATTCTCTACCTTACTCGGTTTCCTGTTTCAACCACAAGGGCTTATTCAAGTATTAAACAGAATCTGAAGTTGCAAATTATTAACATGCCATGTAACTTTTTTAACACCCAAATAGGTCTTGAAGTTCATGAGGGTAGCATTTAAGGCAAGCCGAATATCTGTCAAAATGACAGTCTCTGCCCTGATCCCATCTTTGACTTTACTTGAATAGGGGGTGCAATCCACAAAGCTGACCAGTTTAGGGCAAACCCCAATGTTGGGGTTGCTTAAAGGTATACATAAAGACATAGGAGAAAAGTTTATAACATTCCTGACAGGGAAGTTAATTTTACCCAACCAGCCCCGGGCTGTTCACTCGCCCACCCCCGCACCCCCTGTGTTTTGATGGCATTCACAGAGTTAATTCCTCTTTCCCATAAGGGCCCCACAGTTGTTGTTAGGTCAACCCCTGTAAAGCTTCAAAGGTTCCGTGTCCCCTCAGTCTGACCTATTCAGTGATCTGCACATTGTTCTCATTTAGCTGCATTCAGTCCAAGACAAAAACTTCGAAACCACAATGATCTGCTGCTTTTTAGAGTCATTTTTCCATGGCTTTGGAAAAATCTCAGAAACCTAACTGAAGAAACTGAAAACAGTGAAAAAAAAAATGGATAAAAAGGCATTAAAGCGCTTGTACTATTATCAAAATGTGCACAGTTGTAAGAGTTTTCCTTTGTGCAAATTAGTGATTCGGTCGTGTGATTTGGAGAGGAGTATGACTTTGCTTTTTGTTTCCTAAATGTAAAACAAAGGACCATTACTTAAAAAAAAAATAAAAAATAAAAAGGCCAGAAGCGAAGGGAAAAATGCTGTCATTGGTCTTATTTCTAGGGCAACAGGGTATCTCAACCCCCCGCTTATGACAGAAGAGATGACAATACCAGGCCACAAAATGGTACTTATTACTCTCTGAAAGCAAGCCTAAAGCAGACACCAGGTCACTGACAAAAGCTGGTACCCAGGTTTTAGATGCAATAAGACAGCCTGATTATTACTGTAGAAAGATAATTTTAAACAAATCACTGTGTCTCCCAAAAATGTGAAAGGAACAGTGATTCTAGTTAGTCAGTCACCACAACATTCCCTCAATCCCCTAAAAAGCTAACTTAGATCTGACTTTCTTAAGTTTAAAGTGAAAGATATAAAATAGTACTAGAAAACTTGGGTGAGCAGTCATTTTTTAATACTACAAAACAGTGCAATTTTATTTAAAAGTACCTTCCCAAATTCACATACAAAAAATTATAATCAAAAATAACTAGAAAGGTTTTGAGATGAACCTTTACCAAAACGAGGGTCAAGCCTTGGGTCTAGCCAAGAGGTGGTCTTGTTCTTATGGTTTATATAGTAAATTTCTCCATCCTGAGTCATGGCTTGTTCCCATCCATCAGGAAGAGTACCTATAAATACAGAAAAAAAGTCATGGTTTTTATTTGGTGCACCTAAATAAAGTGGGAGGAGTACTAATTAAAAAAGAAAATACGCCTTGAATAAAACAATTCATTAAAACAACCTATATAGCAGGTTCTTCTCCACGAAAAAGAAACTACCAAATAATAAAATCTACATTCCCCAAAGACACAGATGGAAAAAAATGAGATTTTCAAAAAAATTCCTTTGGAAGTCACGACCCAAATAATAATTATTACTGTTAATACAAAACACAGAGTGTTACAGCTCAGGTACTACCTGCCAAACCCAGTTTTGTGACAGTACCTTCCTAGGGACTCCAAGGTTCTTTAACAAGGAATAAATGTGAGTGTTTTCAGAATATCTGAAATATCATACCATCTGTTTAATATAAAGCACACTTTAGCTAAGCCTGCCAAGCTTCATTTATTTCCATTATTTATGTGATGGGCTCACACCAAGAAAACTATAATAGAGAAAACTATAGTTTAAAAAAAAAGCTTATTTTTAAGCAGCTCAAAAGTTCTACGTGGCTGGGAGTTTAAGTTTGTCAGTTTTGAAACAGGGTAGGTTAAGTGCTAAAACTGTTGGAAGGCAAATTTCTCAGAAGCAGCTGTGGAGTGAGGAAAAATGTCTGGGAGATAAGACTAAAGAACATAGCCAATCTAAGATTATTCTATCTTTGTGAGGGTATGGAAGCTAGACAATTGCTTTTGGTACGTAATAGCTAAGAAAAAAGCTATTAAACTACTAAATTCAAACATATTTCCTCCTCTATTCCTTTTCTCCCCTTTCCTTCCCCACCAGGAGTCTGGAGAGGGGTGTAAATTGGAAATAGTGTCTGAGTAAATGCCTAAAATTTTTCTATCAATGGACCCACATGAATTGAGTGTTACTGTATGCCAGTTGCTATTCTAAGTGTACTAAATACATTAACTCATTTAATCCTTACAACAACCAATGACATACACAGCAGTATTAACTACATTTTAATGAGGAAACTGAGGCACAGAGTGGTTCAGTCTGATACAACCTCACAAAGCTAGTTAGTGTTAAAGTGATATTCAAACCCAGCAGCCTAATTCCTGAGCCGTTGTTCTTTATAACTACACTAGTGGCCCGGTGCACGGATTCGTGCACATTGAAGAAAATTAACTAGAAGGAATATTTTAAGATCACTTTTCACCCTTTCTCTATAATAGAAGTGTCAGAGATGAAAGAAAATTAGTAAAAAGTATATGAAAATAATATATAAATTGATTAATAAATAAACAACATGATATAACAAAGATTATGTAAAAACAAAAACATGATATAAAAACAACATTGATAAAAACAATGACTATAAATTGATTAAACTTATTCTAATATCTCCCTGTATACCACATTAAGAGTAAAAACACTTTCAGAGTGCTTGACTAATTTCCCTTGTGAAATATTTACAAGTTTAACTTTAACGTCACAGGCTCTTCAACTTTGATGGCTTGGTTCTTATTGAATAGAGAAGATTCCAACGTGCGTAATTATATTATTGGGAGATTCCACAACATTATGTGTTTAATAATTCTTTGTGGAGAAATGCCAAAAGGGCAGGAATAAAGTATTAGGTAGACTGTTCACTGTGAGCTTTGGAGAACCAGAACAATATTAAATTGTGCCAAAACAATATTACATTGTGCCAATAGTTGGTCTTCAGATACATTCCGTCGACAATGCTGGCTTCTCTCAGCTTCAGAGGTACACTGTACCAACAGTTGTTCTTCAGACACATTCTATGGACGATGTCATTCTTTCAGCTTCAGAGGTACGTTGTGCCAATAGTTGGTCTTCAGATATATCCTGTTGATGACGCCAGCTTCTTTCCGTTTCAGAGTACACTGTGCCAATAGTTGTTCTTCGGACATATTCTGTCGACGATGTCAGTTTCTTTCAGCTTCAGAGGTACGTTGTGCCAATAGTTGGTCTTCAGATATATCCTGTCGATGACGCCGCTTTCTTTCAGCTTCAGAATGTCAACAAAAACAACCAAATTCATGATTGACGAGGACAGATCGAAATACACGCATATGCTTGGCGTCAGCAAGAGCTTTATATGTATCGTGCATGCGCGAGTCAACCTTTATTTTTAAATTGCCAGTGTGTGTCACTTGTACTGGCCAGTCGGTTGGTCATACCGTCGGTCACTTAGCCATACATACAAATATATATATATATATACATACACACACACACTCACACACACACACACACACAAACACACACATATATATTTCTTTTTATTCATGTCCCACATCTAAGACCAGGGTTCTTGTGTAAAAACACAAGTTCCTTCTTTCTACATTGATAGTCCAAGACAGACTTATGAGTGATGCTGAATAAGTCACTTTGGTAAAACAGACCATTCACACAAGCCCATGGGACCCCAAGCCCTAATTCTGGACCAGTTTCATATGTATCAGGAACAGACCCATTTGTTACTAGACTGTTATCAAAAGATTTGCTTTGACAAGGGGCAAAATCTGGTTAGGAAACACAAAGATGCATGAAATCCTAGAGAAGCCACTAGCAGTGGTTCTCCACCTTCTGGACCTTTAAAACAGTTCCTCATGTTGTGACCCCCAACCATAAAATTATTTTCGTTGCTACTTTTCAACGTAAATAACTGTAATTTTGCTACTGTTATGAATCGTAATGTAAATATCTAATATGCAGGATGGTATTAGGCAACCCCTGTGAAAGGGTCGTTCGACCGCCAAAGGGGTCGCGACCCACAGGTTGAGAACCGCTGCACTAGGGGACGACAAGACCTGCCCCCAGGCCTGATGTAGAGTTCTATACATAATGCTAACCATGCCCAGAGTTGGAATTTGCTGAAAGACATCCATGTTTACTAAAAGGCGAATGGAAGCAAACTTCTCTTACACGTTCAAATCAAACCACTTTTCTCAGTAGCTTTCATGGCCACTCTGGGCTCTATTTCCCCACAGGAAGGGAGAACCTCCAAAACTGACTACTAGTGGTTTATTACCACCTTTAACTATGAAGATGGCTCAAATGCAAAATCCTTTTGAAAAGAACTAAAATTCTAAGTTCCTAAAATATGGTGATGAATAAGTCACTGGATGCCTTTGGAAGCCTCAACTCAATTCCAGTAGACATCATTATAGCCTCCAAACCTGACTGAATACGTGGTGATTCTCTACCTTTTTAAAAAATAGCATCACCCCTATCTGCTCACCCACTTCAGCCTGTAGATGCCACTTAAGTTCTCTCTGACATGTTCTAGTCAATCTCTAAGAACTCAGCCATCAATAGAGAGCAGCTCTTTTACCTTACCCCAGCGGTTCTCAACCTGTGGGTCGCGACCCCATTGGGGGTTGAACGACCCTTTCACAGGGGTCACCTAAAACCATCGGAAGACACATATTGAATATATAATTACATATTGGTTTTGTGATTAATTACTATGCTTTAATTATGTTCAATTTGTAACAATGAAAATATATCCTGCATATCAGATATTTACATTACGATTCATAACAGTAGCAAAATTACAGTTATGAAGTAGCAATGAAAGTAATTTTATGGTTGGGGGTCACCACAACATGAGGAACTGTATTACAGGGTCGTGGCATTAGGAAGGTTGAGAACCACTGCCTTACCCTATACAGCTTCCTTCCTTGGCACCTGAGTGCTCAGCTCCTGCCCCATCCCAGTGTCTTCTATCCAACACCACCAGTTTTCTTCTTACAATATTACCTAATCAACTTTTTCCAACTTTTCCCAAAACTATGCCACCTCCTTGCATGTACTGTTGTGGTTATCACAGTCTGCCCTGCCCCTTATGAATGTACTCATCTTGCAAGAGAAAGAGCTCAAGTGTCACCTTTTCAATTTAGCCCTCCCTGATTACTTCACACAAAATTACTACTTTCCTCTTCTACTCTGTATTAACATTTAACAGATAACACTGTAATTACTTGTTTATATGTCTGTCCTCCTGGCAACAACCAAGTCACTCATATTTTAACTTGTAGGCTAGTATCTGAGTAATTGCTCAATAAATATTTAATGGATAAATGTCCTACCTTGTAATACTTTGAACTTTCTATAAATGAGCTGAAAATTATGTACTACATACACTATTTTCAATTGATGTTTATAAACAGAATATGTGAATGTTATTAACCCAGTGCCTTTTACTCCTTAAACTCTGTGTTCATAAATGTATTCATTTTTACAACATGGAAATTTCAAAAATGTTAAAAATTGCAGAAATGCAAAATAAAAAAAGCAAAAATGTCTTATTATTTACTCCCCAGAGGGGAAACTAAACAGCTTCAATTTTGCGATAGGTTCTGGATTTTTCTTGTGCACATTCTACAACATATGCACACGCATTGATGCCATGCTCTATCTGTACCACACCACTTTATTCACTTAAGATAGTATGGGATCTTTTCTTCATAGAACACATAGGTCTCTCATTCTTTTTAATGGCTTTATAGATCTTAACTGTATGGAGATATTAGAATTCATTTATCCCATCCCTTTCCGCCATATTGGATACCAGAGTTGTTTCTAAAATGTTTTGCTGTTATAGCAGTGCAAGGCACAACTTCTGGGGGTACCGAGGGCAGCAGCACCTCTGTCACTCCTGGCTCCATCACTACCATCCACAATGGTGACATTATCACATCTAAATCTACAGAATGGCTCTCCGACCTAGGCACTGTTCTTATCCCTGTCACACAGATGGAGCACAGGGACTCAGAAAGGTCACCTGCCCCAGGGAGAGGAAAGAGTTGATCCAGAGCTTCTGATTTTAAACCAAAGAATACACTGCTTCCCAAAGATATAAATACATTTCCATAAACTTATGCATTAAATTCAAAGTGGAATAGTGACTTTATCCCTTTATATACAAGTTTAAATCATTAAATATTTATATGCCATATATCAAGTATTTATCACATACAAACCATTAAGT